CTCACTCACACACACACAATCCCACACACACACATGCACGCATACAATCACACACACACACACACACAATCACACACACGCACGCACGCACGCACACACACACACACACACACACACACACACAGCACCCCATCACTGCCTTACGTAGGACAGGCTTCCTGCTGAAGTTCTTATTTAAAAGAGACTTCATACTCAGTAATACTATTAATTAAACTATTGATTTAACTGCACTGACATTGCTGGATAAAAACCAAACTGAATTGATCTGAATAATGACTCTATTGTCTTCTGTAGAGCTGCTTTACAGCTAAACATTGGTTTCATATTTGATGAATTTTACAACATTCACACTGTTATTTTCCTGTTTGTTCAATTCAATTCAATTCAAGTTTATTTGTACAGCGCTTTTCACGATACAAATCATTGCAAAGCAACTTTACAGCAAATTAAGTTTCTACAATATTTAGTGGTAGCTTATCAGTGGTGACTGTCAGTTAATGTACATATGGCAGAAATGTACGGAAACATCAATTAAAGACGTAATCAAACAGACGATGAACACTATTAAATGATCATTAGGCCTCATGTTGTTCCAAACTTGTATGATTTTCTTTCTTTCTTCTGTGGAACACAAATGGAGATATTTGAATGTTGGGAACCAGCACAGAGCTCCTATTCTCCATCTTCATTACTTTACTGTCTTTATTTAAACAAATACGATTCCCAGAGCAGTTACACTGTTACACTTCATATATTTATTTATTCATGAAAAATACTACAGTGAAATTACTGAATCAAGAAAATTCCATCTGCTGAGAGAGAGACTGACCTCTGAGTCCAGGTGAGCTTCCAGGTCCACCATCAGGAAGATGTAATCCACCGGGATCGAGGACACGAAGTCCACGAGGAACCAGCTCTTCAGGTAGCGCTGGCGGATGGCCTTGGGGTCCAGCAGGATCTCCGTACTGTCCTCTTTCACGATCCCAGTGCGGAAGTTCAGCACCAGATCCACCAGGAAGAGCGTGTCCGACACCACATTAAAGATGATCCACGGAGGAGTGTTCTCGTCCTTGAAGAAGGTGATTCCCACCGGGAGGATGATGAGGTTTCCCACCATCAGCAGCAGCATGAGGAGATCCCAGCAAAACCTGCTCATAAAAATGGAATTCCTTACATATGTCATGGAATTTGGCAACATTTGGATGGATGAATCAAACGTAGGGCTGCACACTTATGCACTAGTGTGTGTGAATATTACAGCACTGCTGTGTGAATGTGAATCTGCATGTTGTGTGTGTCAGTTTGCTGTAATACATGCACTGAAACACACGTGATGCATGTCTGCATCTCACTGTATGAGCACATGAACTTCATCTGAGACTCACTTCAGCAGCATTTCACCATTTGCTTTGCGAAAACTATCGGGAGATGCACACAAAACTTAGAGATCTTCACTACAACCCGCCAAAATAAAAGTTCAGTTTAACTTGAAGAAATTGTTACAAAAATGTATTGATACTTCTCAAAGCAATAATAATACTAATAAAACAGCATAAAAGTGTTAAAAAATATCACAATATTTCTTCCATGTTTTAATGTAAACAGTAAGTTTATGTTGAGCAGCACTTGTCAAAAAAATGAAAGGAATTTCCACTATGCCACCAGACAGTGAAGCGACTCGACTGCAATGTAATGTAACATGAAGCTGATCACGTCTTCTGTCTCTGTTCATGTTTCAGTCGCTCTGTGTCTGTCTGTAAGAGTCTGATTATCTCTGTCTGCGGTTATGACATCAATATTATTGATCATCTCCCTATGAGAGATTCAGAGCTGCATGGAGTGATAATACAGTAATGCAGGAGTCCAGCTGAGCACGTCACACACACCACATTACAAATCATCTGTTACACTGTCAGTCGTGTGTGTGTGTGTGTGTGTGTGTG